TGAATGCATGTATTTTACATGTAAATGTACTATACATGTAATCACAATTGTTATATTAGGGATTGTTATTGTTATTAGCAATTGTTATTGTTATTATTGTTAACAATTGTTATTGTTATTGTTGTTAACAATTGTTATTGTTATTGTTGTTAACAATTGTTATTGTTATTGTTATTATTAGTGTTGTTATTGTTATTAGGGTATACCTCCTGATAGTATATTCAATGATGAAGAAGATGCTCAAAAACTTGCTAACTGTAGACCTGCCCCCTCTCACTCCCCTCCGCCCCTCCCTCCTCCTGTCACGACAAGAACGACCAATCAGATTAGCGATAAGCATATCCATGACGACGACAGTGAAGTAGCTCCGCCCACTAAAAGACGGAATGTTGTTTTGAGTGACACTGAGGAGGAGAGACTGGATCCTTTGTCTCCTGTGATATCATCTACTATTGATACTGGACTCCTCCTCCTCTTGTTTCCTCTCTCCTCCCTCCTCCTCCTCCTCTTGAACACTATCATGAGATATTCCAACCATCAGCCACTCCCAGTCACCTCACCAATCGCTTCATGGTATACTAATACATGTACATGTACACTAATGCATGTACATGTACACTAATACATGTACATGTACACTAATACATGTGCATGTACACTAATACATGTACATGTACACTAATACATGTACATGTACACTAATACATGTACATGTACACTAATACATGTACATGTACACTAATGCATGTACATGTACACTAATGCATGTACATGTACACTAATACATGTACATGTACACTAATACATGTACATGTGCATGCATGTACACATATAACACTTATATTCAAAATCTGATCAAAGTACAGGGTCTCAGGCAAGATTTTGCCAAAATTGAAAAGGAGAGAATTCTTTATTTTTTTGCTTCATGGACCCAGTTTGCACCCACCTCGATCTGAACCCCTTTAAAAGTAATATTTCTTATTCTGCCCCCAATTTTGTCATACGCCTCTAGCACTTTAAAACTGTTTAAGTTTTGATCATTGAGCACCCTAGCTGCCGTCACTCCAGCCGTACCAGCACCAAAAATAAGAACTTCAGCATCTTTTTGAGATGGACACGTCAAAGAGGAGGAGGTTTTGATAACGAGACAAGTTAGAAAGGACACTACAAGAAGACGATCCATTACCATGACTAATCAGTAATCAACTAACCTATTGAGGAAGGAAGAAATTTCAGGGCAGCAACCAAGGCAACCAGTCCCCGCCCAGTAGGTGTGTTCATAGCAAAATGGCGACTTTGTGAGGCTATGGTGGGACAAAGTTTGGAGTGCTTTTAGCAGCAAGAAAAACCAAGATAATATGCAAAGCTTCATTAAAGGTAGAGAGAATTTTAATAAGTCTTATATCTACTTATGAAGTTGTGAAATTAATCCTAGAATTTTTTTTATTGAATTTAATTAACCCTACCCTAAAATTAGTGAGGCTTAAATTTGTCACTCAATTTTTTAAGAGCAAGCCTTTTGAATGTAAAAATAAAAGCTTAGACAGTTTTTGCTACTTACAGAGGAGGCTGAGATGCTTTTATTGTATTTCTTGATATTTTTTTCTTTATACCATGTAGCTGGAATAATTTTTGTGAAGACTA